TAGAGCTATTAGTGTAGGTATACAGCATGCATTCCATTATGATGTACAGAGAAAAAAGAAACCCAGCTCTATCAAGTGGATTAACCAAATTCCATAATCATGTTGTAAACCATGATGATTCTCAGCGACTGACGGTATGTATGTGCGTAAATAATGTCAAAGATTAAATTTGTGTCAATTCCACCCGGTGATTCAAGGCATGCTATTTGGGGAGTGGCCAAATGGTCTTGTCGTATCTAATTTCTCGTTGGTTGTGGATGTTAGTGTTGTGGGGTATTACCAATATCGAAATGTTGATGCTGCAATTGCCTGGTGGGAAACAATGTTCGACCAGGTTTGTCAAGTCTGTAGCGAAAAGCTTTTGGTGGGAGTTCCTTGTGCGACGTGCTTGCCAGTTTGCCATGTATAAATTGGACGAAAAGTCAGAGTCGTGTTGTGCCACAGCCAAAGCCATCTTGGGTTGGTATAAGGTGGAGAACATACCGTTGTGTTTTGAAAAAGGTTTGTATTAGTTGCGGTTGCCTTATAACTCAATTCTATTAATGAAGTATCACACGAAACAACCTGAATAACCTAGGTTTGAATCCTCCTTCCTCCCCTCCCCTCTTTTTTTTGGTTATAGGGCGTCTAGGTTTATGTTGATTATTTTCTTGAATTTTAAATCGGTCGCTATAACTTGAACTAATTTAAAAACATATCTTTTAAGGAACAAGAATGATTGATTCTTAAGGGACGTGAGAAGTACTGAAGTTGATAATCCTCCTTTACTTTTGTTATGCATCGAAAATAATTTTCAAACTTAAAGCAAAAAAATTGTACATAGGAATATCTGGGTTACTTGTGCATTTTTCAAAATAAACATCTAGACAATGGCTTTATATATTGTTTAAAGAATGTTATTGAGATATAATTTGAGCATATAATGTATTTTGACCAATGAAGTAATATCAAAATGTATTTAATGTTGCAATAGATCCTATCATTTAATGTTACCGTGCGTCTTATCATTAAATACATTTTTTATCACTCAATTGGTCAAAATACATTATACTCTCCCCTTAACCCCCCCCCCCCCCCCCTCTTTTAAAGAGAGGTCCAAGTTTATTAAATAACCGTCATTTATGGTGGAGGAATACCGTAGTTATATAGTTGCACCTAAACCACAAAACCAAAAAAATACAATCTAAATAACTAAAAATACAAAAAAAAATCTTCTTAAATTCGTCCACCCTGACCCCGGTTAGTCTAGCTAATCGACGTGGTAAATTCGTCATTTGTCATATAGTTTTCTGATCGCCCTCTGCACCCATCCTTACAAGATCATCTGACACCCGATTTCCCTCGGAACCCGTCAAAATATCTTATGCCACCCAACTTCAAATTTCTAATAGGCCAATAGTCCAATTATTGAGTTATTGAGTCCTTCAGGATGGTGACAAATGTGAGAACAAAACATAGGTGTTGCGTTCAATGATGCTAGACGTGCTAGTTTTTACCCGGAAAACTTTAAGCTACTATAAAATTATAAGTTTTAAAGGAGAAATTACATCAGTTTGATGGAGGTTGTGATTAATCATATTCTTCAAAGCTATAATTTATACTTCAAAAAAATGGTAATTCAATCTTAAAAAGATATAATTTTCGACATCGATGCCACGGATGACACTGTAAAACTTCCCTTTTTACCCACATACAGAGATTAGACATGAGATACCAAGTGCTTTTGATCCCCCATGCAATACGTCACGTGTACAAGTCTAGGAATCAATATATCTCTACAAAAAAGACAATATTTGTTTATCACTGTAGATCTCTTACACACCATTATCAAATAGTTGTCTCATACATTGACGGGTTTATTACTTGTGTCGTATTGCTCAACACACGGCACATTCGGGAAACTCTGTCTTAGCCATTGGCCATGTCTTATACTCACAAACTGAGTTTTCAAGAGCTTGTCTCTCTGTGATACACCTGATTTTGCTGGCGACCAAAAATGGTAGATGGTGGTCTTAAAAACTCTTTGAAATATGGTTGGGAGTCACCTAACCGTCAATGTACAATGAGGAAAGTACAAACATACAAACCAACTAGATACTTTGTAATAGGTCCGTGGTTCAATCATCGGATTATTGCGGATGATCCGTCACTAATATAAGGGTAAAATAGTCTTTTCACTCTAAATACCCGTCTTAAGAGCCTGTGAATTAAAAACAATATTATCTATCTCTTACATCTCTAATTCATCATTATCTATAGGTGTCTCGTGCATTGGTTGTCAGCCGGGTAAGAATCTGGCCTTCTTGTTTGCTCTTCGCTTTATGCCTACACTGTGTGATAACATTTTTTTTTTGTTAGTGACCAGATATGGCAGATGTGATCTTAGATCTCTCTGAAAAATTATTGGAGTCACCTAACAGTCCATGTGCGCTGAGGAAAGTCAAAACACCTTTTACAACCACCAAAATATTTCAAATAGGCCAATAGTCCAATTATTGAATGAATTGTGCTGCCTTAAAACGATGTTAGGTGTCCTCTTTTTTTTTTTTTGACATGAAGAGGTTAGACATGAGATAGACAAAAGAATACGTGACGTGTACGAATTCGAGAATCTAACCTCTTAAAAATAGAAATAATACTGTGCGGATCTATTTTATCTCTCATACCCTATTATAAATGAGTAATGTTAGACTGATCAAATTTTGAGATTAAATTTAGAACTCAAATGACATGACAGTTGATTATTTGAAGTTTTTATTGAGGCTCAAATACCATCACACCAATTAAAAAAGTCCAAGTCAACTGTCATGTCATTTAATCTTAAAATTTAGTCAATCAAACATTACTTATTAAAATGGGTGTATTGTGTATTAAGGACGATTTTTTTTTTTTTTTGTCACATGTAACACGTTGCTCACTCACCACCGGGATAGGGAATCTAGTAAGTGTGGTGCACCACACAGGTGGACACCCTTGCCACTGGAATAGACTTTGCTGGTCGTATCCTCACCAAGTTCAAGGGCTTAAGTGGTGTTTAATAAAATTAAAAATTAAATACTGAAAATTGAATATTAAATTTTAAACGTTGAATATTAAATTTTTTATTATATAAACTATTTGGTATTAAATAAAATTTAAATATTAAATTGAATCAGACTATTTAGTAAATTTGTTCATCTTTTTAACCACCTCATTGTAACTATTTTATTCTTATCACCACCATCACAATGGTAGTGGCAGCGGCAACACAATGGTGGGGGTGGATATTAAAAAGTTAAGAGTGTAAAATGTATTAAAGATATATTTATTCATTATGAAAAATTTATAAAATCCTTACTAACTAATATTTTCAGGATTAAGTGATAAATATGTGGCTTATTACTTTAAATTTTAACCTATTTTTAAGAAGTGTTTAAACTATTAAACGGTATGAGTTTTAGGTTATCAAATAAATTTAATGTATTTAGGTTTCAACATTAAATGGTGTTATCAAACCGTCTTAATTTCCAACAGTCTTTCATTAGAGTAAATATTCAATACAACAACGATACCACATTATCGTATATTACAAATCAATAATAAAATACCATATAAGATTGGTGAATCTTACTCAAATGGTGAAATCCTCTAGGTCCACTTAGTATTTTACAATTAATTAGTAAGATCACGGATTAATGATAACGTGATAATGCTATTACATTAAATTTTTTCTCCAAGGTGATAAAACTTATATGCTGGTGACCACGAGTGTCGGATGTGGTCTTAAACAGTAATGTTATGCTGACTAAATTTTGGGATCAAATTTAAAGTTAAAATGATATGACAACATATTATTTGAAATTTTTATTAGAACTCAAATGACATGACACAAAATAAAAAAGTCCAAGTCAGCTACCATGTTATTTAAACTCTAAATTTAATCCCAAAATTTGATCAATATAATATTACCGAGTCTTAAATCTCTTATGAAAATTATTGGAGTCACCTAACCTTCCATTGCCTGACCCAAAAAAATAAGACCTAACCTTCCATGAAGTCTCCAAAGTGGTTCCAATCAGTGTGCATTAAAATATCCCCACCACCCGCATGGAGAGTGGGTTCCCATACTGAGCACCCTCTTTCGCGCACTCACCTAAAAGATGGTCCCAATGAAAGTTCCCCTTACCCGGTTTAAGGCTTCAAAAAAATAATAATAATAACAACGCCGTAATAATTTCAAGAGTGAATTGCCGTAATTATTCAAGATGTTATTTGTTAAATTGATCGGCTGTAGTTCAGACAACTAAAACAGGATCGTAAATTGCCATCCTTTCACGGGGTAGGAATTCAGACCGATGAAGGACACAAGAATTGTCCTTAATTGCCCGACGGGCCAAAATATTTTTCTCGTGAGCCTTGGGGAAAAATGGAGATAGAAATAGCACTGCTATAGACGAAAGATTGCAGCACTAAGTACAATCTCAAGTGATAGCTCGTGAATTTTTAGCACTATGCATTTCAAAAGATTTTTCGATTCTCATTTTGTATCTTTGAAAATTATTTTTTCATATTACACTCTGAATGTTATAAATTAATTTCAATGTAACCCTCAAACTAATATTTGTTTTAAATTCTGTTAAAAATTTATGCACATATCATCCACATGTATTATTGTTGGGCACAAAGATAAATTCACTATTCATATTCTTAGATAGTATATGCATCAATTTTCAACAAAATTTGGGATGAATATTAGTCCGAAGGTCACATTGAAACTAATTTATGACATTTAGGGTACAATATACAAAAAATAATTTTTCATGGTATAAAGTAGAAATTAAGACATTTTCAGGGTACAAAGTGCAAAAAACCCTTTGAATACGAGTCTCTCAAAATTGGAATAAAACTGCCAGACTTATCGACCCACAGTTATGGAGTCTTTATGTTCTCTCTCTCTCTCTCTCTCTCTCTCACACACACACACACAAAATTTCATTAACAGGAAAGCAAAGCTTTTAAAGCCCGTTTTAAATGCAAGTTAAATAAGCTATGTGATTCTCATAGAACAAAGGCCACAGAATGAAAAAAAAAATATTTATTGAAGTAGAAGAAATGTAAAGAATACATGGAAAGAGAGGAAGCCCAAATATCAAAAATATGTAACAGTTTGTTTGCATCTCTCTGAACAATTTACCCTTTGCCATAGCTTTGAACATGGATGCAAATGGTGACACAAACTAGCCTTGTCATCATAACAATGGAGGCATGGCTTGCTTGAATATTTCTCCATTTCTAATTTCACCACCTTGCTTACTACGAGGAGCTCTGTAATATGCAGGAACTGTTGCAGGGAAAAACATCTGCCTAACTCCTTCTGCCTTGATGATGGGGAAGATAATTCCAGATGCACTCTGCACGATCGAATTCAAATTTTCAGTATACAAAGGGGAAGGAAGAAGAAGTGAGTTTAAAATCAAAAACTGTGATGACAGAAACAAACTAGACACGCACCGTTATCAATCTAAATCCAATCCACATTCGTTTGGGTGAGGGGAAAGGAAATAACAAGCGGCCAACACCAAATATTGCCACTGCAAAGAAATGGCAAACCAAGCTCAATGGTCGAGGGTTCAATCCCGAGAGCAAAGATACTGGTCCCATTGAGAAAACACCTCCAAGGCTCAAATAGTCGAAGCATGCCTCGCGCATTTCTTTCCTTGCTTGATCAGGTGAAGCGCAGAAAACTTTATACAGGGCACCTGCCAATGTGTTGATTGTGGACGCCACAGGCTGTGAACGAAACATGAAAAAACATGAGCCGATGAACTGATATGATAATTTCATGCATCTCATTAAATAATTGTAGGTACTATATCAACCATGGATGCTACCCACCTTACGCAAGGTGTAAAAGGATTCAAGATAATCGCAGAGACTAGGTGCATCATTTAGGTCAGTTAGAGGCCTGAGAAGATCTCGTAACACAACAATATCAGATAGTGCCACAGTCATTCCCCCACCAGTTAAGGGATGGCGCATGTTGAATGCATCCCCCATTAGTAAAGCCCCTGGAGTTGGGTGAGGAGCAGCTGGCATGCTTCTGTTGGGCATTGTCCTAATGTTTCCACTATCAATTGCAGCAATGAAGCCATCGTACACCTCGGGTGGTACCTAAGGCAGACATGTAATTACAGATCAGTCTGGTGTGTGACAAAGAACTGAATATTGATATAGTTTTGCAAAATTAAAAATGGTTATTTAATATAACGCAGATGAGAAAGGTTGATAATCATAGATTTTTATATACCTGTGGAGCAACCACGGTCTTCAAGTAATTGGCCATTTCGCCATTTGAAATGGATGGCACCTTTTGACCAGGTACATCAACGAGACAGCGAATCTCTGTGCTACTGATCTTATAAAATAAGATGGGTGATGGGTCTGCTAAAATTACATGGCCATGGTCCACGTATGGAAGTTGGCAATTTTCCAAAAGCAAACCAACAAAACAGGAAGGCACATCCACCTGATAAAATGACAATTAGCGTTATTACAGACAAATACTGGTGAATATAGGAAAGTGATAAATGTAAACAAACTTGATGAAATTCCTCAAAGCAATTCAAACATGTAAATGCAAAAATGAATTTGGCTTTTGGAAATATTATTGTCTAACTGAAAAAATAAAATTCAAAGCTATCCTCACCTTAGGGTTGCAAAGAGAACGTCGCAAATTTGAAAAGCAGCCATCACATACAATGGTTAGAGGTGCATATGCTGTCAATTCTTCACCAGTTTTAGTTTTGTATTGTACACCTTTAACGGTTCCTTCTTCTTCGAGCAAAGATGTGACTGTTCCTTGTTCCAAACGGACACTGGAGAAAATTTAAAACAAGGTGTAACTAACTGTAGATGGGCATAAGTACAATAATGATAAAGAAAAAAATTGAATTTTACAAATTTGATAAACTGGAATCTCATGATGGTAATTAGGATCCAAGGAAATAAAGGGATAGAAAACATACTTGGGAAGAGATGCAGCTTTTTCCCGCATTCTTTGGATGAAGCGTCCATTGTGAAAGCTCCTTCCAGATACATCAGAGTGAAAATTTTCCAGTGGGTAAGAAAGTCGGGTATTTTTACCGTCCTTGAAAAGAGCATACCCAAACACCCGTTGAGCATCGATTTTTTCCACACAATCTGTAGTCAAAACATTATATATATCATTCATTCAACATTTATATGCCGCAATAACGTGGTAGGTAAAGAAAAATCCAAAGATTGGTACTTTGCTGACCGTCAATTTGTAAGTTAGTTGCATAGTGAATAAGAGTTGATAAAAAAATTCTTAAAGGCCTAGCTCTCACCTTCCAATCCCAACTCGATCAATTTCAAGTATCCTCCTGGCTGGAGCAATTCTCCTACAATTCGGTCTTGCTCTGTCAAATCCCTTTCAATCACACGCACCCGACGTCCATCCTGCAATTCCAAGTATAGAAAAATTACAGTTCTGGACTATGAAGCAAAAAGAAATCAACAACTAATATCAGAACAAAGCCAAAAATATCAGAACATGTGAGACTCATCTGCACAATAGACTGGTGGTACAGGATCAAGAAAAACTATAGCATTTAAGAAGATTCAAGTTTTAATTTTCTCTCCTTTTTATATTCTTCTTCTTTTTTTGATACTGTCTTGTTTCCACTTTTTATTGCATTAATGAAGTCTACAAAGCACCACCTGCAGAACCATCAACCGATTATAAGCAAAAAAAAATATTTACCACAAGAAGTCATTTAATTATTTTTTGGGTCAGGCACTCGAGAGGGGGCGGCGTTAAGGTCTAACAGCGAGGCCAACCGCTAATAGAGACGGAACTGTCACATGCACTTATCAAGCGTTTATATATAATTTATTAGCCATCACTGAACCTTCTTGACGAAATCAACACTTTAAGGAATATCAACCAGATTCAAGGCTCTCTCAACAAAAATCACTCCAACATTTACGCAAATACTCACAGAGAGACACTATGCGATGGTAGAAATGTTAGCGGAATGGCGGAGAAATCAGAAATTCGAAAACAATATACCTTGCCGAGAGTGTGTGCTAGAGCCGCACCAGCAACGCCGGCGCCTACGATGATCACGTCGACGTCGTCTTCACTGTTCTTAGATCCACATTCTCCATTAATAGCGGCGGTGTTGGTGGTGGTGTTTGTGCTCTCTGCGGCCTCCTGAGAACCTCTCCGGCTATCCTTCTTCTCAAACACACTGTAGAGGAATACAAACCACAGCAATAAAGCCAACACTGAACCTAACACGTATTGAAACTCCATTTTGGAACAATGCGACCGATACACCGACGACCAAAGACGACGACGACGAGGATCTCTTGCGTCTCCTCGCTCAGAACACTTTTTTTACTCCTTGCTTGCTGGCTTTTTTCTGAGACAGTTGCGGTTTTTTATAGACTTTACAGCTCACGGGGTGGGTGTGGGTGTTTTGCAATTCAAAGTTGCCAACTAAGCTTGGATTGGCTGTGCTTAGCCTCATGTTAAGCCTACTAGGTTGCTGTTTTTATTTTTTATTTTTTTGTCATAAGACTGCCCGGTTGTTGAAGTATTCTTGAATGTACAAGAGTAAATACATTTTACCCACCCGTAGTTTGTTCAAATAACACAGCAACATCAAAAAATTATAATCTTCTACATTTTGTGATCAAATTAAAATCCTAAATTTTTGTATTCAAGATGACACAAGGCATGAAAAATAGTCATTCTTATTTCTTCAATTAAAAAATTTATAATTAAAGTAAAATAGTCTCGCTTTCATACTTCTTAGGAATGGTGTTTAAGAATCAAATGAGAGGAAGAAGAAAGAAGGAACGAAGGGAGGGAGGGACCATTTAAGAAGGACTTTAAAGGAGAAGGGTTACGAATACAAGTGAGTACAACCAATATAAGTGAGGATGATGAATTTGGGTGTTGTTCGAAGGGGATGGTGTTTGAAAGGCGAAAAAATAAAAATAAAAACATGGGAGGGGTATATACAATTTCAAAACTTACATGGGTTCTGTTTATAATTTGAGTAAACTGCAAGGATGTGAATTAATTGTCCTCGGAAGATAAAGGTGTCTATAGTGGGGGGTGTGTTTATCGTGGATGGTAAAAACTAAAAAACAAAAGTGGAGTGTTCAAGGTTCCACTACCTTTTGTTTTTTTGAACAAAGGTCCCGCTACCTTCATTGAGTGAATTTTTGTTTTCGGCCCACGGTTTTTGAATTAATTTATACATATTTTAATTAATTTTTTCTCTAATTTGATCAAAGATAAATTATTTATGTTGAGATTAAAGTATTTATAAATAATGAATTTCTCATAACCTGACTTTAAAAAATTATCAATATTTAAATTTAGAGTATTTAAATTTAAAAATTATCTCTGTTATCACTTGAGATACGTTTTAAAGTTTCATTAAATGAAATTGAAATGGTGGATTTGAATCAAGGGGCGTGGGTAAGCTTGTAACTAGGTCAAGGTCTACCACCTACGCAGAAATTGCAAGTGTAATTGGACAAAAGTCGGTCCACAATGAAGAGATTAGTTGGTTGTTAGGTTTATTTGTTTTTCCTTGAACAAGTTTGTTGGTTCAATTATCACTATGCAACTTATTCCCTTTTAAACACCCTCTATTAATAAAAAATCCAACTTGGAATACTAAGTTGTTCAAATTTTCAAACCATTGTAAGTGAAAGGTTGGATTGGAGTGGAGCGGAGGGCTTTAGCAAATGGTGCCATGCATGAAAGTAAAAGGTTGAAATTTAAGATTGACGTTTTTTTTAATGATTTAAAAAAGTGGTGGAACAAAAAAGATCGTTCAGAGACTACCTTAATAGGTCTTTACTGGTGGTGAGATCATAAAGTCTATGACTACGCCGATTACACTTCCAGAAAACGAAACCTAACTACACTAGTATAGTAGTCAACTACCGAATTTTAATATGGACTCTAAAACTCCAACATCTAATTTTAGGATAAGAAGAATGATTAGTTCTCCACTAAACCATATCACTCCATTGTGATCAATGATGGTAATATAGCAGCAACATCTATTTTCTTGCAAAAAAATAATTTTTATTTGAATATTTTTGGGATTCGAGTTCACGATCCCAAGAGAAAGTGAGCCGCTTGAAAGCCACCCAAAAAACTATTTAAATAAAAGCCATTACGATTAGGAAAAATTCTTGAATAATGACTTTTTGTGTAGCTTCATTATTATAAAAAAAATAAAAAATTGTTAATTTAAATGGTACTGTAAGTGTCTCCAACTTGGATGATCTTCCTATAGCTATAACTCCATAAACTTGTGTCTTTTATTGCAATATAATTTTGAAAATTAAAGGAACTCATAATCTATTTAATATTATAGTTAGTAATTTAAATTTTACATTTATAAAAGAAAAATTACGTTTCAAATTAATCTAATCTTTATCCAATTTTCTCTAATGGTACAAAATTTATTTCAGGAAAAAAAATTTCTCGCCTAAGAACATCATCTTTTTTACACAAACCTCCGAATATTAGACAATTCAATCAACACACTCTTTAATACTAGACGATCTCACTAATTCACACTTACATATCTCTTCTCTCACCTCAATTTTTACTTGTTTTCTTTTGTTTACTTTTATTTTAAATTTTGTGATTAATGAAAAGAAAGAAAAAATAAATTATTATTTAAAATATAAATATTACACGATAAATGTTTAATTTTTTATATTGGAGAGTGTCTTTAGGCAAGAAATTATTGCTAATATTTTACATAAGATACAATGTATGTATATATATATATATACATATTCGATTCATTGGCATTGAATTGGGTGTTTCAATTGGGGTTCAGTTGTTTATGCAGCAATAATAAAGGAAAATGAAATTGGAAAAGGAAGCATGGCATTAACTTCATTTGGAGATAAAACTTGAGAGGGGTGCATTATAATTTCAAAACTGCATGGGTACGATTTATAAATTGAGTAAACTGTAAGTATATGAATGAATTGGTTTTCCCCAGAAGATAAAAGTGACTTTCGTGGAAGTGTGTTAATATGGGTTTAGCTAACTTGCCGGGTCAAGGTTCCCCAACTTTACAGAAATTGCATTTTTTTATTATGGTATGTTTTTTATTGCTACGTACCTAGGTTTATATTGGACAAAGACGATCACAATTAGGTGGCTAATCGAGACCAGCAACTCCGCCTTGGCTCGGATAAGATTTAGCTCGAGTTTAATTAGTATTTTAAATGAGTGTGATTGTGAATAATTTTTTAGACTTCTTTAAAAATATGAGCTTAAAAAACTAGACTCAAACTTACAAAGTTCAGTTCGTTTATATGTAAAATAGATGAGTAATTTACGCTCGACTCGGGTTCTAAATAAACAGAGTTTAAACAACTTTTTAAATTCGTTTGAAAAAACGAGCTCGAACTAAAGCTCGACTCGATTAACACTCCTAATTAAAATGAAGAAGAGATAAGTTGTTTGTCAATTCAATTATCACCATGCAAATTATTTTTTTCAACACCCTCAATTAGTTAAAAGTCAAATTGGAGATTACTCGTTTGTTAGTTCAATTATCACCATGCAAATTAGTTTTTTCAACACCCTCGATTAATTGAAAGTCAAAATCCGAGATTACTTGTTTGTTAGTTCAGTTATCACCATGCAAATTATTAGTATTTTTCAATACCTACCCTCAATCAATTAAAAGTCAAATTGGGAATAGTATAGCTTAAGCAACCGGTGCCGTGGATGATAGTGAAAGATTGAAATTTATGGTAATGTAGTGTTGCAAAAGCAACATTTATTTTCTTTCCAACAAATATTTTTTATTTTAATTTTTTGGGATTCGAATTTAGGATGATAAGAGAGATTGAGGCCCTTGAACGCCACCGGAAACCATCAGAATAAAGTCATTGAGATTAGGAAAATCTCTTTAATAATAATATTTTTTTTTTCAGTTTTAGTATGAAAAGGTGTTAATTTAAATGGTATTGTAAGGGGTATGATTCAAATTTAGACTTAAATGTGAGTCTAAATTTGTGTCAAATTCTTGATTTGGTATAGAGTATTTTGATGAACAAACTCAAATATCTACTCAAATCTTTTTTTTTTAAATTTTATTGTCCCAAAACTCTTTTTTTTTGTCATTCAAATTATGATATTTGATAAAATAAATGAAATTTTCATCTCTCAACAAATGGGTAATTCAAAAAAAAAAAGTGAATATGTATACAAACACTACATGGGAATAAAGAAACCACCCAGGAATTTTAAGATTGTTCTCTAATTCCTTATCATTTTTTATAAATCTAGATAAAAATATATATAACTATTTTGACAGAAGCCTGGTCTGAAGAATACAAAAATATACGTTTTTAACAAAAATGGAAGATTAAAGAAATAAAATGATAAATTTTTTAAATGTGTGGGTAACGAAGACTTAGAATTTCAGAAAGAATTGGTAATCTGAAATTGTACTACTGATAGTGTTTAACTCGAAAAAATCAGAGAAAAATTTGATGGGTATGCATAGGGTTTATATAGTATGAAAGGTGGATAAGATTAGAGTTTTGAAAAATACAAGAAATCAAGAAGATGAAAAGAAAAAAACTTACCTACAGAGTTTCAAATAATTTGTGAAAGTTTTAGTGGTAGTCAGCGATAAAAACAACGTATTAGAGAGAGGCAAGAAGTGGCAGAGAATAAGTCGTCGAATAAGTCTTTTAATTTTGGATAGGTTAAAAAATAACCGTTAAAAATTTAGTATATAATTTAAGTCTGCTTCAATTTGGGTCTAGAATAAATTTTGTCTTGATTTAGTAGAGGTTTGAGTCTAATGTTTAAAAAAATTTTTTGGTCATTTTGTCTCAAATTTAAATTTAAGTTTACATTTGAATCAAGGTTGGAGATGCTCTTAAAAGATAAGATTAGATTACTACCCAGTTTGAATTGGATTATATAACAACTCGATATTAATTTCTCATTAATTTTAATCCTGTTCATTATTATCATTTAATACATAATATTAGGTATTAATGAATAATATGATGTAGGTAGAATTATTTTTAACAAGTTTAGTATTAAAAACACATGACTTTATTATCCTTACAAACTCAGATTTATACTGTCATATAAAAGTTACACATTATGCAAACACTCAATATTTATTTTGTTATTTTTATTTTAATATCATATACTATTACGTAATCCAAACATAAATTTGGGATTATAGTAACATAGATTTATACCTTATCCCAATTTTAATCCAATTTTGTTACACAAAAGATATAATCAAATAATATTCTTATTAATGCCATTTGTGTTAGATTAGATAATAACTAATTATTCAATACCATCTTTTATTTGTACCCGAAGCAAACATGCCCTAATTGTCTCCGGCTTGGATGATCTTCATATTGCTATGACTCCCGTCATTAGACACTTCTTGATCAAAAAAAAAAAAGTCATTAGACAGTTGTGCCTTGGATTGCATAAACACAAA